TGTGTGTGTGTGGGTACCCCAAGAAAGCAAAACAAAATCAGCTGTGCTATTGCTCGTTATTCAGTTCAATCCAAATTTAGGGCATGACTGTCCATGCAACCCCTTGTTTCGATAATATAAGCATGCCTTCTCATAGAATTAAACGTTCACGACATTACACCTCTTGTTGTATGACTTATCATTGTGAGGAAATAGATAAGGCAAATAAAGCAGGAACAACTTTTGTGGCATCGTGGTGAAATCAGGCGCTCGTTATAAAATAGAATTCGAAGAAACCGATATTTTCCAGCCCATTAGGCAATTTGTACAGATTTTTTGTTCATTTTTCGGACTCTACACCTTCTATGTCCATTTAAAAACACATCAAAGTTTCATTTTACTAGAAAAACGTTGATCAAAGGGATTTTTTAGCTGAATTTGCAGTTTCCAAGGACACTAAACTTTGGAAGTCATCAAATTTGACGACCATTTTCTCGCAAATTTTACCGCAGACACCAGACGATCCCCGCCATATTCAAATTCAATTGCCAATATCTCGACTTCTATTTAAGATATATGGGTCTCTTTTAATCAAAACAAGGCAAACGAACAGGTTCTAAGACTGACTACATCAATCAATAACTCCAAAATATGCCCAATATCTGACGGGCGCCTGAGTGCAAGGCGTCGTGACACAAACGTATTTAACAATTTTTTTTTAAAAATGTAAGCGACTTTTATGCCCCATCGACCCAATTCATATCATTTAGAAGGCGGGCTTCCGACCCTGCCTGTCAAGGCTAACCTGATGAGAGTGATACAGTGTCTTGTAAAAAGACTGAGATACTTGATTGCTGGCAGATAAGGGAACAGACGTCAAACAATAGCGCAGGGGGTCAAAGAGCTTCCAAAGCAGGTCTTGTGACAGACTGATCAGGTCACTTGTTCTGGAAACAGTTTTTGAGTTTAGTTTTAGTAACGTTTTTACAGCGCTCACAACTGCATAAGGTCATAAACATGAGCGCCAAGGGGTGGATGTCAACAGAAAAGTGTCTAAACGGGGAATCAGGCTTACTCTGCTCACCTCTCTAGCCTCAACAGCACAAAGTCTGCTTCGACTATCATTGATAAATCAGCGCTCATTTACAATTTTACTGTGCATAAGAACATATTATTAATACCCCC